GTTTTAAATCTTTGTTTACAAATTGTTTTTCTTCAAAATATTTTTAACATCTAGTGCTACACAGAATCTCATAAAACAATGTTATATTTCTCATCTCTGAGCTGTTTAAAAAATACTGTAAGAAATGCAATACGAATTAAATATTCAAATTTGAGGAGGGTTGGAAGAAACACAAAACAAATGCAATCCGATTCTGAACAAAAGAAACAATCTAAACCAGCTGTATTTAAATGAAAGGTCACGACAATTTATAGTGGGATACAAGAGTGATAAAAATTTTATAAGATCTGAATTGATGGTATACAACTAAGGATTCGCTTTGATTTTGGGGAAAGATTTTTTGAGTTGTCTGCATTTTTATGCATTTGCACTGCTATAAAGTTTGAATACCATTGCTCTAAACATACAAATATAAACAGAAAAGTACCAAAAAATGCAATATGTACGAGTAATAATACACTTGTGCAAAAAATTTTGCTGTTAATGACAAATCATTAGAAGAGCTATGTTTGATTTACTAAATATTAAAAAAAAACAACAACCTGATACTATTTAATTATCAATTACTTTTCACTGATTTATATGAAGTCGCACTTGCAGAATTCATCCCATTATCTGCTTTATATACACATATATTAATTAGCATTTGGTTTTTACAGCAAGAACCTTTTCATATATGGTATGATCAGATATAACTATTAACCAAGTACATGTTATTGTCGATCATCTGAAAATTTTATTGGCTGATTTTAAAAGAAAACATTTATGGTTACAATTTTAAAAAACTACGATATGGACTGTATGTATATGCATGTATATGTGTAAGTACACTGTGCAAAAAAAAAGGGGGGGTACAGTTCTATATCTCTCGTTCTACTGGGCCGATTGACAAAATTCAAATTGTGTAATCCATGTCTCGAAAGCACGACTTAAAATATGCATTGGATTTATATATAGCATTGTTCTAACATAGGTATTTTGACACAAAATCAGACTTTTTCTGAAATAACACACCATTTGTTTTCCATATTTCGATTCTATGACTCAAATTATGCCTAGATTTAACTTTTGCAAAATTTGGAGCGAAATTTACAGAGAGATTCACAAATTTATCTTGGAGTAAATTTTTTCAGTTTGCGACATGAATTATTCACTTGACAAATTTCTTAATATATAGCAACCAATTTTCCTTTCCCTTCCATTATGCCGGAGCGGATAAAAAGTCACATCTTTCCTACTTTCAAATAATTTTAGCAAAGTGACTAAACCACTTTTTATGGCTTTCAACAAACATGCCAAATTTCAAAATGCACCAATATATAAATTCAAGTATATCTTTGGAAATTTTGAATTAAAAAACTGTAATTTTTTGCAGGTATGCTTAGAAATATGTCTACTTTAAGATGATGGTAAAAATTTTATAGATTACAGTTCAAAAATTTTTCTGAAAAATTTATAAAAAGTATTTAAAAATACAATTTTTGAAAATAAATTATAAAAATGGGTGAATTTCATTTGGAAAGAACCTGAATTTAAAAATGTGAAAGCAAGAATCAAATATGTTTAATAAAAAAATAGGTTATTAATAAATATATACCAAATTCAATTAACATCGAGGAGCTAAAACTTTGAGAGGTAATTTTTTAAAAACTACTCGTGTGATTTTTCACAATTTGGTAGTTTGGCGTAATTTGAATCGTAGAATCAAAATATGGGAAAAAATTGGTATGTTATTTCAGAAAAAGTTCGATTTTGTGTCAAAATACCTATATTAAAACAATGCTATACATAAATCTAGTACATATCCTAAGTCGTGCTTTTGAGACATGAAAAACACAAGTTGAATTTCATCAATCGGCCTAGTAGAATGGGAGATATAGAACTGTCCCTTTTATTTTTGTGCAGTGTAACATATGCCTGTCTGCATGTATACACATACATGCACATACATATATACCATGTGCACATACACAGATCTCTGTATACATTCCGAATAACAGAACCTCAAATAACATACAGCAATGTTAGTTCAGAGAATCCCATGTGGCACTGGCAGCACAGTTTGAAATTAATCTTTTAAATTTATAATACTGCGTGCATAACATTGGCTAAGTGATATCACATTTCTGGGCATTCTCAAGATTTAAGATAAAATTATGTGGGAGATTCACTTTCAATAAAAAAAATTTCAACCCGCAATGATATCATAAAGCAATATATTTGATACAGTCAAAAGTCATTAATTCGGACACCCATAATCCGGAATGATCTATAATCTGGACCTCAAAGCTACAAACTTTCTGCGCAAGCGTCGCATTGACGCATGCGCAGCATATTCGCAGCGTAAGACCTTTATGGCTGCAAATATTATTGTGCGCATGTGCAAAATACGTTTATGAGTGCGCGTTTAATGTATAACGGACAGTATAAGGTAAGCTAAAATTATCTAGTTATCTATTTCAGTTAATGTTGCAGATTGCGTTGTTCCTTAATTTTCGAATTGGATACGGCTTATTATTTTTTGCAAACTGTTAGAGCAATTTTATAAAAGTAAGCTTGAACTTTCGATTATGTCAAATAGAATTTCTGATATACATTTACTAACATGTAAATGATTTACAAAGCGAAAGTATATTTCGAAGTTCATTAAACAAAAAGTGGAATTGCAGCAAAAAATGGATAAAGGCATATGCTTTGTTTATCTAAACTTTAACGTTTGTTTATCTAAACTGTGTTTATCTTTAACGCCACGGCGGGTGCGCAATGAATTGGAAGTTGATCTGTCAGCACTATCCTTATCTTCAGGGCAGATGTTTTTATTTTTTTTTGGCTTATAATTCTTTACTGAATGTAGTATTTCATCTCGATGTACTCAGTCTTTGATATGATTTAAATCAAATTCCTCGTCATTATAATTCGCTTCCGATAGCGAAGAAAGTGACAGAGGTTATTGAAAATGAAAAAATTTCGATTGACAAATTAGTCGGTAGACACAGCAATTATAGGACTTGAACAGCGGAACTTTGTAACTGAACAAGAAATTACGTCTGTTTATAGAATTAAAGAGAATGTATTATCACGTAAAAAACGAAGCAACTTAAACAACTTGCATTGAAAGAAATGTTTAATAAAGTAAACAAATAAATATTAAGCTTTTTTTTGTAAATTTTGATACCCTTTAGATCATAATTATTTTTTATTTCATAAATTACGGTTTCATATTTTTAATTTTATAATTCCTGCATGCTATCTTACCAGATTTAAACTGATGATCTATAATCCGGAAAAATCGATAATCCGGAATCGCCGAAGTCCCGACGAGTCCTGATTAACGACTTTTGACTGTATAAACATATCATAAAGCAATATATTTGACATCTTTGTACAGTTTACAAAATGCAAAGGACTCAGATTTGGAGAGGATTGCAAAAAATACAAAAAACATAGTCTGATTCTAAATAAAAGAAACAGTCTAAACTTTCTCAGTCATCCAAGACACGTACTGGTTTAAATCTTTGTAAATTTTTTTCCTTTTTTTAGAAAAATTTCAACCTGCAGTACTACGAAGAATGTCATAAAACAATAATATATTTCTCATCTTAAGCTGTTTAAAAAATGCTGTACGAAATAAATGCAACACAAATTAAATATTCAAATTTGAGGAGGGTTGGAAAAAGCACAAAACCTATGTAGCCTGATTCTGAACAAAAGAAACAATCTAAACCAGTAGTATTTAAATGAAAGGTCATGGCAATTTATAGTGTAATCACAAAACCGACACAAATCTTAGAAGATCTGAAATGATGGTATAGAACTAAGGGTTCACTTTGATTTTGGGAACGTTTCTTGGGGTTGTCAACATTTTTATGCAGTTGCACTGCTATAAAGTTTGAATATCATTGCTCCAAACCTTTCCAACGAGAAATAACATTCGCTGCTTTAAGCCATTCTTTAAAAATATTAAACTTCCAATAGTAAGGAGGATCTCCTAAAGCAATATGCTTCACATCTTTGTATTTTTTACAAAATGCAAAAGTGTAATTCATTCAAATTTGAGGAGAGCTGGCGCAAATACAAACCCAGACATTCCGATTCTAAATAAAAGAAACAATCTAAACTTTCATAGTCAGCCTAAATGAATGTTGTTTATGATCTTCCTTTAATAAAAGGACTGGATGAACACACAAATGTTCTTATAAGTGTGTAACTTTAAAATGGATAGAAATTTATCTTGCATAAATAATGTTTTTTGTCTTGTAAGAATAAAGAAGCTGGATTAGTATTTAATAAAATGGTAATGTTGATACCTCATACAGGATCAGCATCAGTTGTATGTCAACTGGCATAATTTCTGAAAATTCCCAATTCTAGCACATAGCCACCTATCTAATTTGGTTGCACCTAAATTCTGGCATCCAGTACAGCTGAACCAGAACTTCAGATCACATAATGAAGTTTCTTTGCTGCATGGACAAGTCCTTACTTCATTAAAAGTTAAGATTGTTACTAATGTAAGATCTCCTCAAAACACAGGAAGTTTTGTGTAGACAAATATGTTTCTTCAAACTTCTCTGTCTAAATGACTTGTTACCTGCATAACTTGCAATATTTCTCTCCTATATGTATTTATATATTTAACCTTCAGAATAAATGACTTGTTTCATGTTATGCATTATGGTTTCTATGCCATGTGAATATACATATGCCTGTCTATTCTTTTGACTAAATGACTTTTTACACACTGCACATACATGACGTTTCTCCCCTGGGTGAATAAGCATAGGCTCCTTTAAAATATCCTTTCAACTAAATGACTTACATACTTTGCACACATCAGTTTTCACCTGAAGTTTAAACATATTTAAAACACCCTTCTGACTAAATGACTTTTTACATACTTCACAAACATGAGGTTTTACCCCCATGGGAAAAAGATATGCTCTTTTAAACTATATTTACAATTGAATAATTTCCTACATTAATCATACATGAGTATTCTCTCATCTGTGAATAAGTAGATGCCCATTTAAATGATGCTTCCGTTTAAATGATTTATTACATATCTCACATACATAAGATTTCTCTCCTGTGTGAATAAGTATATGCTTGTTTAAAGCACTCCTTTCTCTAAATGCTTTATTACATACATCACACACATGAGGTTTCTCTCCTGTGTGAATCAGCAGATGTCCATTTAAATGACCCTTTTGCCTGAATGACTTCTTACATACTTCACACACATGAGGTTTCTTTCCTGTGTGAAGAAGCAGATGCTTAGTTAAATTACACTTCAGACTAAATGACATTTTACATACTTTACACATATGAGGTCTCTCTTCTGTGTGAGTAAGCATATGGCCATTTAAACTACTCCTTTGAGTAAATGACTTCTTGCATATTTCACATACATGAAATTTCTCTCCAGTGTGAATAAGCATATGCTGGTTTAAATTACGCTTTTGACTAAATGACCTTTTACATACTTCACAAACAAGAGGGTTGTCCTCTGTATGAATACATAGATGCTTCTTTAAATTACCCTTCAGTCTGAATGATTCATTACATCCAGACAGAGAAATTTTCTCTCCTGCAAAGGTATGCATGTGTGCTTTTAAAATATTAGTTTTTTCAAATTATTAGTTACTTCCTAAAGTAGAAAGTTTCTGCACTATACGAATAAGCAGTCAGCTTTGATATCATATTAATTTACTACCTACTACAGAATGATATAAATTCGATGATGTAAAATTAATTATTACACAGAAATTTCATCCGAAGTAGTTCTTGGATGCTTCACTCTAGTTTGTTTAATCTTGCGGAAATTCACATAATTATCTTTACAAAATATCAATACATATTATACATGAGAGTTGACTAGTCATATATGCATGCCTTGATTGCCAGGATATCATTAAAATTTAATTTCGTATATTTCACAAATACAATTTCCTGTCCGAAGAACAGGTTAACTAAATCTTGGATGGGCCTCTAGCAAAGAACAATACATACTCTTTGCTTCTAGTACCATTAATGAATAACGGGTGGTTTATCGCACAAGCGGCTAGACTCCCAAATCTCACTTTTGCTCATCGTCTGGGTTTCGGAATGACAGAGGGAAAAAGGGAATTTCGTCCAGCGCTCACAAGCCAGGACTTAGAAAAGAAGGACTAGCTCATAGTAGAGCTACTAGAGATACAGGCTGACTCGTCAGCCATTTTGAATCTAAGCTTTAGGGTTGCAATTTAGGTGTGGAGCGGCAACTTTGGCTCTTTAGCGCTGTCCGCTAAAATTTAACATTCTAGAGAATCCGAATTTCAGCTTTTTTCTGCACTCCTATAAAGATGTGTGGCTTTTTTCCCTTCTTTTGTCTGCAGTACAGATTCTTTCTCGTATTTTTTTTTTTAAAATTGCCAAATTTCTCGTATGATTCAAGTTATTTTAAAAGTTTCTAAAACATTTTCATATCATATTTCAAATTTGTATTTTTAGTTTAAAAATGCTTTCTTTTTGAATTCCTTTATTCAATTTTCAATTTTTTTTTTTAAATACACGCATAATGTTATTCATCTCAAAATGTATTTTTTTGACAAGAGCTTTCCCTCAACCTCCATTAATTTAGGATAAGGTTTAATCTTTAATTCTTGTTTTTTATTTTTAATATGTTATTTGAATTTTGCTCACATGGAATCAAACGTCTATTACTGTAGCAAATTTGTTAAAAAAATGTTATTTTGTGTGTGTTCCAGAAAAAGCTGCTAAACACTTACATGACTTTACATGATTTTAAATACTGATTCAGGATATACACCTTTAAATTATAATGCTTTTAGAATGAAGTGCAGAATGCTATAAAAATTACTTCAATGCTCAGATGACTGTGGGATTCATAGATTTAATAGAGTAAAAAATTCCATTAAATTTTTTTTTTTTCTTTATTTAGCTATAAACAGTATTAAAATAATACACACACAAATAAATAAAAATAAAAATAATACCTTTACATACAGAATTTACAGATACTATTTACTTATAAGTTTATTTGTTGTTGATGGTTACTTTTTATTATACTTGGAAAAATTATAGTTACATACATATGCTCTTAATATTACACGTATCTGAATATTTAAATGATAATTCCATAACATAATAAGATTCAATCTATATCACAGCAAAGACAATACTTAAATCACAGTTCTTTTTATTAATTAATTTGCATAACTAAAACATAAAAATATTCTTTAGCTTCAAATCTATAAAATAAGTCCTCTAGTAACAAACATATGACAAACACATATATTGAAAATAAAGATAAATAAATAAAAATGTTTGCTTTTTGGTCTAATGTAGTGCAATTAGTCTATTATATTCAAATTTTATTAAAACATACTGCAGTAATTGAATTTTCCATATACATAACACTTAAAGATGATATTATTATTTTCTTTAAACTAATATTATAATTTTTTGTTCCTGCAAAACGGTGGCAAGTTCAATATCAATATTTTGTTGGTAACAGAACGTTCTTTTCATAATGTATACACAAAGTTCGATAATTTCAGGTCTGGTGACTGTGGTGGCCAGGGGAGATGGGACAACTCATCCTCGTGCTCAGAAAACCAGTCCTGGACAATGTGAGCTGTGTGAACAGGGGCTTTGTCATCTTGGAAGACACCATCACCATCGGGGAACAAAGTTTGTACCATGGGATGAACTTGATCGGCCAAAATGTTCACATAAGTCTTGGCAGTCATGTGCTCTGACACAGTTATCATGGGGCTAGCAGAGAACCACGATATGGCTGCCCAAACCATAACAGAACCCCTGCCATGTTTCACTCTTGGCAACAAGCAGTCTGTATTATAGGCTTGAGATGGCGTTCTTCAGACGTAAACTCGGCCAGAAGTGGGAAACAATGTGAAAGAAGACTCGTCAGACCATATTACTCGCTTCCACTGCTCTGTAGTCCAGGCTTTATGACTTAAACACCACCTTTTCCTGTTACGGGCATTAGCATCACTGATGAGTGGCTTCTCAATTGCAGCACGGCCAGCAATTCCCTGTTTATGAAGCTCCCTTCTAATTGTTTTGGTACTCACAGGGTTTAATAACACAACATTCATTTCAGCAGTAACTTTTGCAGCTGTGGTCTTCTTATTTTTCGTCACAATTGCCCTTAATGATCGTCTGTCACGATCACTCAGGACACACTTTCGTCCGCGCTGTGATTTAGCAGATGATGTTTTTCCGCTTTTCAAATATGCGGAATAAATCTTTGATACAGTACCTCTTGAAACACTAAACACCTCGGCTACCTTGCTTACGGAAGCACCTACCATACGTGCTCCAACACTTTGCCCACGTTCGAAGTCTCTTAACTCTGACATAATGCAATGACAACCTCACATAACTGTACTCCGACAACAACTGAACTGTTTACCACATTTACGAAGTTGTATAGGTGGCGTCAGTAGTCAAAAATGCCAGCGCCACCTACATATTTCATTAAAATCAATCTATCTTTTCAAACGTGCATTTCACAAGGTGTTTCCATATTTTTGTCCATCCACTGTACATAACATTTTAGCAACCCAAAGGTTTAAGTAGCTGAAAAATCTAAAGTCTTAAAAAAATACCTGGTCATAGATGCAAAAAATACTTAGATTTATAACAAATCAAATTATCACTCTACTATAAACCCTTACAAAGAAGAATGCGATTGGAACTACTTATTATTGGAAAAAGAAGAGTAAAACATATGCAACATCCCATTATGAAAAATCCTGCAAGCCATTACAATACTATAAGACATTGATTAGTAAGGTAAACATCAGTTGATCATTCTTTCACAACAGCAATAAATGTTTCATTTAAAATTCCTAATAACATGCCAAAACAGATTCACAATTGATGCCTCATTTAAGGTCACACAAAAGTAAATCCGATTTAGCTGACTATGAGATCTTCTATTGCAGAGGACTTTCTAAGGACAACTGGCTTGTATTCTCATTACACATGGGGAAAAACCACAAAAAAACCAACCATGCAGCCAGCCTGTTCGGAAAATAGAACAGAAGATGGAACTCCCAGCATTCAGTAACTTTAACCATTCAGGCTGTTGGTGGGCCTAACTATTATTCGAAGAGACAAGCAACAATTTTTCAGTGGCAACTACTCTACTTTTTTACAGACAGAACCTGAACAGTAAAAACTTCTTAAACTCTTGATTAGATTCTAATTTACTTTCTTCCTTTTAAAAGCAGGACAATGCAAAACTTTGCCCCTGCCTGCTTTTTATTTTGAAGAAGCTTCTTGAGACCAATTCCACAGGCAGCAGTCAAATAATATTTTATTATCTTCGTTTTGATATTGCAACACAGGAGAGAATATTTACCTCACCTGCTTTCTTACAAATCATATTACTAAACTCCTCATCCATAGTTACGTTTACACATATTATTTCACCTAGAAAATTTTGAATTATTTTTTCACACAGAAGAGACAATTTAAAAATTTCAGGAGGAGGACATTTAAGCCCATCTAAATTTTCAAAATTAATTATATACTGCTTATTTTCATCAATGAAAGGAGAAATTTGCTCTCAAACTAAGAGAAACTGTAAGCATGAATTACAAGCAATTTTCAGTACAGAATTTATTGCAGCTCCTGCAATACAATAGACATTATTTTCCTCTTTAAGGGTGAGATTCTGTAGAGATAGATCAGAAACTTCTGGTATGGGAACAGGCTCTAAAGCTTTTTTTCTCCTTCAGAAATTCAAATTCGTCTTTCGCATAATTTAATAAATAAATATCTGAATCAGTAGCATAACTGGAGTTCTTAATGTTCAGATATAAACTGAGATAAACAGATAAGCTTTAATGCTTTCACAGTTTGCAAAGCACTTGGCCTCAAACCAGCTTTTCTGCGTATCTGAGGAAATAAATTTTCTAGAGCACCTTGTGTCAATCTGCTCGTCAAAATAAACTGAACATCATCCAGAAAACACACCTCTGCTAACTGTATGGCTGATAAAATCAAACCAGTATGTAATGGTTTCCATCCTTTACCAATTTCTACAAGCTGTACAATATTAATAAACTCAAAAAGTAACTCAATAGTTTTGCTTTTATTTGTCACAGAAATTGAGTTCTTTCTATATCTAGAGGATGGCATTTGAAACCACAGACATATAAATGTTATCCACCATGCTGTAGTCAGAGCATTAGGGCTTCCCTTTTTTTAAAGCTACTGCCTTCTCTAATCCCACAGCTGTTTTAATTGGAAAAAAACCTCACAGCAGAAGCAACATTCAAATTTTATCAAAATATGAAGGGAAGAGGTCTTCTGTTGAGATGATGCATAGTTCTCAAACCACAATTTTGGTTTGTTTCTGTAATCCAGATATCTTTTATAAATCCTGCAGATACATGCGAAGTAACAAATTTTTCTTTACTGCAAACATAACTGGACAGTTTTATGCTATTATTAAGAGTTGCAGACCACATATTTTTTAAAAGATCTGGCACATCTGCAAATACATAAATAATTTTGCCCTTAATTTCAGTGAAATCTGAATTTTCTAATCTGAATTTCAAGAAACAGG